ATATCCTTCATGAACATAAATGCAAGAATTCTTAATGAAATAATAGCAAATATAATTCAACAATATATAAAAGAACTATATACCATGACAAGTGGGGTTTATTTCAGAGATGCAAGGTTGTTACAATATTTAGGGCCAGTTGATGTAATTCACTGTATTAGCGGGATGCTGAAAACAAATCACAGGACCATATCAATTGACACAGAAAAAGCATTTGAAAAAATTCAACACCCAGTCATGGTAAAAACTCCCCGCCACCCCACTAAAAAAACTGGAATACAGAGAGGGGAATTTCCTTAACTTGATAAAGAACACCAACAAAAAACTGCAGCTAAGACTATACTTAATAGTGAAAGACTGAATGTTTTCCCCCTAAGATCAATAACAAGGCAACCTGCTCTCACCACTCTTATCCAAAACAGTGCTGGAAGTTCTAGTTATTGCATTAAGGCAAGAAAAAAAAAGGCAACCAGATTGGAAAGGAAGAAATGAAACTATCTATATTTGCAAGTGACATAATTATCTATGTAGAAAAATCGTAAGAAATTTACAAAAAATCTCCTAGAATAAATGAGTTCTCCAATGTTTCAGGATACAAGATAGACATACAAAATCGACTGTATTTCTATATACTAGTGATGAAAAGCAAACACAATATCATGTACAATCTCTAAAAAAAAGAGAAATACCTAGGTACAAGTTTAAAAATAGAAAAAATCACAAACAGCATTCTATCTTTTGTAAAATCATATTATCCACTGACATTACTCAAATCCTCATGCAGAAAGGACCCATATAATACATTGCTATTTTGGATGCTTTTTTTCTCACTAAAAAAAGACATGAACAGATAAGATATACAGATGACAAATAAGCACAGGAAAAGATGCTCAACATAATTAACTATCAGAGAAACTGTAAATTAAAACTATAATTATGATATCACTATCTACAAAAATGGCTAAAATAAAAAATAGTAGTAACACCAAATGATAGTGAAGATACAGAGAAACTAGATCTTGTATACATTGCTGGTGGGTATCTAAAATGGTACCGCTAACATGGAAAAGTTTGGCAGTTTCTTATAAAACTGAATATGCAACTACCATATGACCCAGACATTCCACTCCTGGGTATTTATCCCAGAGTAACGAAGACTTATTGTCATGAAAAAAATCAGTACACAAATGTTCATAGCAGCTTTATTCATAATAGCCAAAAAGTAGAAAAAATACAAATATCTATTCATAGATAATATTTTTTAAAAACTGTAATACATCCATACAATACAATAGTATGCAACAATAAAAATAAACAAGCAGGTCAGGTACAGTGGCCCATGCCTGTAATCCCAGCACTTTGGAAAGCCAAGGCAGGAGGATTGCTTAAGCTCAAGAGTTCGAGACCATACTGGACAACATGGTGAAACCCCATCCCTACAAATAATAATAATAATACAAAAAAATTAGCCAGGTGTGGTGGTGCACGTCTATGGTCCCAGCTACTCAGGAGGCTGAGGTGGAAGAATCACTTGAGCCTGGGAGGTCGAGGCTGCAGTAAGCCATGATGGTGCCACTGCACTCCAGCCAGAGTGAGAGTGAGACCCTGTCTCAATAAGAAAGAAAGAAAGAAAGAAAGAAAGAAAGAAAGAAAGAAAGAAAGAAAGAAAGAAAGAAAGAAAGAAAGAAAGAAAGAAAGA